CGCTGCGAACGGGGGGTTATGTACATAAATGTGGTCACTCAACAACAATTTTACGGTGTGGTCCACACAAACGGCTATCGTAAAGGCCCGTGTCTTATAGACGGTAAAGGAGGGTTTAATACCACGTTGAAAGTCAGTCTATTGACCGATGAGAATGACGAGATTTACTGCGGAATCAATAAAGGTGTTAAGGTATGTGATCATGGTAATAAATTTTATATGTTTAGTATGAGTTACCAGTGTATTTTGTTAATGTATCAGGGTGAACGCTCGGTCTCGTTGGCTATAAGGCCTCATAAAAATTTGGAATTAACTGATGATAAAAATTATTATTTAACGTGCGAACAATCCGGGTATAAAAATGTGCGGTTAGTAAATGATTAATTAAATTATAATGATATTTTTCTGTTTTTGTTTTATCAATATGTATTATATAATATTTACTTTATTGTGTTTAGTGGCGGCACATATAAAGTGATATTAAAACTACTGGATATGAGTGGTCAGAGAGCGGGCCGTATATTACTCGGCAATACGTATATATTGCGGGCACAACTCACACCATATGATAGTAAGTATCATGAACAATTTTAATTTATATTGGATTGTATTTTTGTTTATTAATATATTAATTTATTTGTGGGTCGTAGTACTAATATAACAAAACAATTACATTAATGTTATAAGTTACACATACTGTAATTATATTTAAACATCTATAATAATAAAAAACATCTATCATATACATAGAATTATGGTGATCATTCATTCGGGAAAAATAGCTTGAATAGATATTGCAATTTAATCTACATTTATCATTATATATAAATGTAATTTGTTAATTCAGTACTCTGAAAAATATACATATAAAGTTTATAACTGTTATTTAATTCGATATTAATTAAATAGTATAACACACAATTTACATACATTATTCAATTAAATATAAAATTAAACACACTAATCATAATAATTAATCAATACGTGATTAACCATTCTACATCTCACACATCTATCCCTTATCTATACAGGCATAACATCTTTACGTATAAAAAACTGTTTTGCATTCACTGGCGACACGGGAACTGGAGATCAGGTCCAACTGATCGACCCGTACGGGTGTCCGGCGCCGGCGGCCGACGCTCTGATCTCGCCCTTCAACCACAACACCACACATACAGCCGAAGCCGTATTGTATGAGATGTTTAAATACCCGGACACTAATAAACTGAACATACATTGCGACCTATACTGTGTCGGGGCGGCTGTCAGGAGCCGGTGTGCGACTCACCCGGTTATAAGGGTAGGGATTTAGCTCTTGATGGGTATTCACAACTGTCGGCCTCCACCTCGATGTTTGTTTTTGAGCCAACAGATGATTTACGTGAGTAAATATAACATAGTATTTATTCAACTAGGGCCAAATTTTTGATGTAAACTTATTGATATATTTTTAATTTAGTTACACATGATAATCTGTCCGAGTGTACTGAATGGAGATTCCCATGGTTAATTACCCTGTGCATAGTGTTGGCCGTGTTATTGCTATTAATGTTATTGTTAAACATGTTCATGTGCTCATCGCTCAGTTGCCGGTGTATTAAAACTGAGGTAAGGTTTCGATTAAATTAAATTAAAAAGTTAATAAGTACACCAAATGTTAATGTAGCGATAACGTTTATAGCACAATAAAATTATAATTAACTCATCTAAATATTCTTTAAACATATTCTCATTAACATTAAGTTTAAATAATTATTGAACACTAAATAGTGATTATATATTAATAATAATACCCTCGTAGACATATTTTAGTACAAGTTTACATAAACGTTACAATTATCACACTTGAGTTTGATTACATTATTTTAAATATGATTAATTTCAAATGTGATCATTTTATTTTACCTAGATCGTCGAACAGGAACCGGACGAGACAGTCGACGACTACGACCCATACCGGGCCGACTGGACGGCCCCCAACTCCCGTTACGGGTCACGCAATTCACTGAACAAAGGCTATCCCGAGGGGACACTTAAGTCAAACAAATCACAGCCAAAGTCCTATCACTTGGGCTATGATAACGATGACTACGTTCCCGACCAACACAACCGGTCCTACTCTACACTACAGACCCGTTCGCCCCGACCCCGATCGCCGGGTCCGCCCCTCTCAACCTACTCGACCCACTCGTTAAAGTCAAACA